ATCCACAAACCCACCACAGGCCAGGGATGTGCAGCAGTCCCAGCAGCGACATGACCAGCTGCAGCATCCTCCAGTCCCTGATGAGGTAGGCGACCCCGCTGAAGATGACCGTGTTTATAGACCAAGGCATGAGGATGGCCACGCCCACCGCTGACCTGACCCGCGGGGCCGACACCTCGAGTGCTTGGATACGGAAGTAGATGAATTTAGTTAGTATTTTTGTCGTTGTTTTATCATTGGCCTCACTATCTTACAAAAAAATGTAGGCCTAACGTTATCCTTATATTCTCCCAAAAGATATGTCTAACTTTTAGCTTCCTTCTGCTGTCAAGAATACATGACGAATAATCAGACTCAATGTCTATCTATCTAAAGATATAGGTTTAATACTTTCCATACCTCACCAAGGATATAAGCCTAACAATATTTTCCTGACCTAATATTAACCTCACTGCCTGACGTAGGATACGAGGCTAATAATATTCTCACTGTCACATCAACTATATAAACCAGATCTCATTTTTATCCATTTACCAAGAATATAGGCTGTCTTGAGGAGGGTGGAGTGCCCTAGGCCTACGAGGAAGCGAGCCGCGAGCAGTGAAGAGAAATTCGTCAGCCAAACGGAGCAAATGGCGATGGCGGTGAACATAAGCGACCCACCCACGACCAGCGGTTTCCTTCCATACCTGCAGGATATAAAAAAAAGAAGAAAAAAAGAGGTTTTAAAGCTGATGAGAAAAAAGAAACTGTGCAACACCCAAAGAAACGCTTGATTTTCGGCAATGGCTGGTAATTGTGGGCTCCCTAATCTGCCGTGCGTGGTAGCCTAATCTCTCTATATAGAAAGAAGTGTCAAGTGGGATTTAAAAGGAGAGTGGGGTATTCAGCAGATATTGGAGTTAAGTGATTAAGTGAAATGAAAACTGAGAATGTGAGTTGGAGATTTAACAAGTATTTAAGTTTGGAACTCAAAAGGCATGTAGATTTAATAGGCGCATGAAGGCTTTAAATAACATACAGTAGATGATGATTTGTAGGAATGTAAAACTATCCAAACATAATGAATAGAACTAATCTGATGATTAACATGAGCCCAACCAACTTTATTTACACCTATCTATAAAAAAGAAAAAGAAAAAAAAACATACATAATCTAAAAAAATACATATTATACACATATAGAAAACGAAGAACATAAAACAAAAACAATATCCAAATACTCAATAAACAATACCATTTCCCATCGTTCTCATCAAAGGAAATCTATCACCTCTTACCTGTCGGCTAAAAATCCATTGATAGGCGACCCCATGAAGACACCAAACATATACATGCTTTGGTAGATCGCTCGCAAGTACTCTCTCCCACAAACGAGGTTGTACTGTGGATGAAAACGGGGAATTGGTGTTAACAAGCTCTTTAAGAAATGCTATTTATTTCTTTTAGAGAATGATAACCCAAGGGAATGGGATTTATGGGGGTTTCTCTCAGTGTTGCGTTTAAGAAATATGAATGCTCTTGTGAGGGTGAAAGAATAGAAGGAGTTGTGTATTAGACAGATAAATCGATAGATAGAAAGAGATACACGTATGTGTGTATATAAATGTAAATATATAAACACAGAGATAACTCTCTTTCTGTCCATACAGTGTGCATGTATATATATATATATATATATATATATATATATATATATATATATATATATATATATTATGAATTTAATAGGCGTATGAATATACATACATATATATATATATATATATATATATATATATATATATATATATATATATATATATATATATGTGTGTGTGTGTGTGTGTGTGTGTGTGTGTGTGTGTGTGTGAGAGAGAGAGAGAGAGAGAGAGAGAGAGAGAGAGAGAGGAGAGAGAGAGAGAGAGAGAGAGAGAGAGAGAGAGAGAGAGAGAGAGAGAGAGAGAGAAAGAAAGAAAGAAAGAAAAAGAAAGAAAGAAAGAGAGTCATTATCACCATCACCCAACAGCCAAGTTCCTGCGCTGTTTACCCACTGGTCCCAATTCTGAACCCTGTACAAGCAAAACGAGGTGCGCGGAAACCAGTCTTATCTTGTTCACCGATAAAATGAACGTCGTTATCACACGTGTTGTTTCTCCAAACGTCTCTTACTGAACAAATTTTGGGATGTTCGGGAGGTATAACGCTCGTGACGCGTCATGTACGTGACTTAACAATTAGCTGTTTAAGTAAATAAAAAAACATCAAAAATCAAAATGAAATAATAAACCAGAGCACAAGAGAATACGCTAATGAACAGGTCCACAGGAGAAAAACAAGAAGAATTGAACGTTTAAGAACATCGAAGTTCTTGCCTCCGAAATAACGGGAGAACTGAATGCATAGGACATAGAAGAGAAATATGATAATGATGATGAAGGTGATGGTTATAGTGATAACAGTATAATATTTTATTTACTATCAACATTATTATTATTTTTAATATTATCATCATTTTCAT